TGATGATTCAGGAAATCGCGTTGCGTATCAGTTAGCATCCCTTCCTCCGGGGTGGTTTCAATTTACAACCAGCTCAAACTGAGAGCCGGTGTCGAATTTCTCCACCTGGATATGCACGTCAAACAGGTTTTTGAGGTCTTCCAGATGGGTAATCACAATGATTTTCTCGAACTGGTCCTGGATCGAATTTATCGTGTCAACAATGCGCTCACGGCCGGCGGCGTCCTGGGTGCCGAACCCCTCGTCGATGAACAACGTAGGCAGCGGCACGCCCATGCGCTGGGACAGCACCTTGGATAGCGCGATTCTGAGGGCCAGGTTGATGCGAAACACCTCGCCGCCGCTGAACACTTCATAGCTACGCGTGCCCAACTCATCGCTAATCAGAATGTCCAGCGTCTCGCTAACCCCGCCGGCGTTGGTTACCCGCTGCGTTTCCAGCTTCACGGCCATTCGGTTGTCCGTCATTCGGCCCAACAGCGTGGTGGCTTCGGTTTCGATACGCGGCACTGCTCCATCGATTAGCATAGCCGGCACACCGCCACGACCAAAGGCGGCAAACAACTCCGAGTAAACGTCCAAACTCCCGTTCGGTGTGGGAGCGCAAACTCGTAAGGCGCTCGATTTCGGCCTGGGCCTGGCGGCGGGATTCAACAGCGGCTAGCAGGAAACCACGCCGTTGGGATGCTGCTATCGATCGCGGTGCGGAGGCTAACAACCGACTGTTGTGCTGCGTCAGATTGTTTCTGCAGGTTGGGCAGATCCATGACGGCTGCCTGGTCGGCAGCGAGTCGTTGCTGCGCCGCTTTTAGTTCTTCACGCCAGCGCGCTGATTGCGCCTCAATGCGTTGCAAATTCGCCTCGTCCTGGGGCAAAGCGGCTAGGGCCAAATTCAGCGCAATTTGTTGCGGCTCCCAGTTTTGCAGCGACTGGATCAGATCGAATGTCTCACGGCGGGCGAAGTCGTCGTAGCCCAAATCGGCCAACCGCCGGTCAATTTCTGCGACCTGGCGGCGCTCTTCGTCCGCAAAATCCCTGGTTGCCAAAACTTGCTGTGCCGCTTCAAGCTGTGGGAGCACCGCCTCCAGTTGTTGGGCTGCCTCCGCGCACTGTAGTTGTTCCTGTTCCAGACGGCCCCGCGCTCGCTGGATTTCGCGTTGTTTGCGCGTGAGGGCACGACTTCGCCGGTCAGTCTCCGCCTGCAATGTTTCCAGCGATTGGGTTAATTCAGCGTTAGCGGTCGTGAGTTCCTGATGCAATCGCAGCTTGATATCCAGTTCGGACTGGTAGTACTTGGTGATGTTGTCGCAGGCGTCGTCGGCCAACGGCGTGCCGCACAGCGGACACACCGCGTCAGCTGATTGCATATCAACCAACCGCGCTCTGAGCGTTTTTCCATCTTCCACGCACCGATTGAGTTCAACATCGTTGGATGCCATTTGTTGTTGCATTTGGGAGATTTCGGCTGCCAGGGCGTTGATTGCAACCTGTTCTCGGGCTACCTCCGACTCGGCGCCTTCGAGGGCGGCCAGTTCGCTGGCAATGGCATCAGCCCGTCCGGCCAACGGTTCCAAATCATGTTGTATGCGCCGGGCGAGTTCGTCGATATTGGCCCGGAGCTGTGCAGTTGCCTGGTCTATGGCACGTTGTAACTCGGCCCGTTGTGATTGCAGTTGGTCGTATTGCACACGCGCCGCCTCCAGCAGCTGCAATTGATCGCGCGTTTGCGCCAGCCTGCTGACGCCGTGAGAGATCTCATCGGCTTGGTTGGCCAGCAAACGGGAGGTTGTGATTCGTTTTTGAGTCGCGCTGGCATCGGCGTCCAATTCGGTGATACCGGTTTGGAGTGCACCGATTTTCTCCACGACACCGTCCATTTCGGCTCGTGCCTTGCCCAGTTGTTCGACCGCGGCCCGCAGACGTTCCGACTCTACGGCAGCCTGTGCCAGTTCGCCGGATAGCGCATCAACCTGGGCGCCCACCTGTTGCAGCTCGTCGGCCGGATCGGGAATGGATGCGAGAGTATTACGACTCTGCTGCAAACCCTCGGTGTGATGTGCCAGGTCAATGCGATGACGGTCTCGCACCACGCGGGCGGCGGCTTGGAGCGTATCGTACAGGTCGAGACCAAGTATGGACGACAGTGTGTCTTTTCGCTCACCGGGCGTTTTTCGCATGAATTCGTCCGAACGTCCTTGCAGCAAGAACGCCGAGTTGACGAACGTGTCATAGTCCATACCGACGATTTGCTTGATTTTGGCGTTGGTTTCGATAACCGTATTTGCGGTCAACGTGCGGGGGTTCTCCGCGTCGCCCAGCACGAACAGGTCCAGCTGGGTTTGCCCACGCCCCGAGCGTCGGCGGCGGGTATTGCCCGATAATTCTGGCCCCGCGACTGGAAATCCAGCTCGACCCGGCACTCGTCCTCGCCATGAGTAATCAAGGCGTCGTGGTTACGCCCTCCGGTGCGCGCCTGGCCCCACAGGCACCAGGTGATGGCATCCAGCAACGCCGTCTTGCCGTGCCCGTTGTCCCCACACAAACAGGCGATATGGACGCCCTCAAAATCCAGCGTGGGCACATTATCGCGGTAACAAAGAAAGTTGCGAACGGACAGTTTGAGGGGAATCATGGCAGTACCGGAAACCGGGAAATCATGCAGAATCGAGGGAGGACACAGCCGATTGTACCATTGCCCCTCAACCCACCGGTGTGGCTTCGAGGCGACATCCCGGCACCGATTTTGAAGCACGCCGATGCTATAATAATCGCCGGTTTATCTAATATGGGGACAATAACCAATCAGGCCGACGATACTGCGACCGCTCCTATCATTGTGGTGCAGGATCTCCGCAAACGGTATGGAGACATTCAGGCCGTTGACGGCGTTACCTTCAGCGTGGGCAAGGGCGAGGTGTTTGCCCTGTTGGGGCCCAACGGGTCGGGTAAGACCACAACAATAGAAATCGTTGAAGGTATGCGCTCCGCCGACAGCGGCACGGCCACGGTCGCCGGCATTGACGTAAGTAAAGATGCCGGCGCGGTTAAACAAATCATCGGTGTCCAACTGCAAAGCAGCGCATTCTTCGAACACCTGCATCTCTCCGAATTGCTGATGATGCTGGGCAGTATCTACGGGATCCGGGTCGATCCGGAGCCGTTGCTGGAGGCGGTGGACCTGGCCGAAAGACGGAAGGCTTCCTTCCGCACCCTGTCTGGCGGCCAAAAGCAACGCTTTGCCATCGCGGCATCACTGGTAAACGACCCGGCGGTGATATTCCTGGACGAACCCACCACTGGCCTGGACCCTCAAGCCCGGCGCCGCATGTGGGACTTGATGCGCGACTGGAAAACCCAGGGCCGCACGATAGTATTGACTACGCACTACATGGAGGAAGCGGAAGAACTGTGCGACCGGGTAGCCGTCATGGATCGGAGGTCACATCATCACGATGGACACGCCAGCAACCCTGATTGACGAACTGATCGGGCGCGGTTTCCAACGAACCCAGGCAGTGCGGTCGGCGACGCTCGAGGACGTATTTCTCGATCTGACGGGCCGGTCGCTTCGGGAGATGTAGGTGCTGCGGAGACCCATCATTTATCTGACCTGGTCCACCATGAAGATGTGGTCCCGGGATCGGGGGGCGTTGTTCTGGACGTTCTTTTTGCCACTGGTGATTATGGTCATCTTCGGGCTGCTTAACTTTGGCGAACTGGGCAAGCTGGACATAGGGATCGTCGACGAAGCCCAGAACGAGGGGTCCTCCAATTCGTAGAAGGCTTGGCGAACGTAGCTGCCCTGCGCATCGAACAGGGCACGAGTCAATCCGAACGCCAGGCCTTATCGGACGGGCAACGCGACCTCGTTATCATCCTGCCAGATGGGTTTGGGGTCGAAGCCCAAACATCTCAGGTGCAGGCGTTGTATCACGCCAGCCGTGCCAATGAGACCCAGGTTGGGTTGAACATACTGCAATCGGCGATCGATCAACTGAACTTCTCCATTACCGGCGCCGAACGGGTGGTTACGTTGCAGAGCGAGGCGGTGGACGCGCGGGACCTGGGCTACATCGATTTTCTCATGCCGGGGTAATCGGCATGTCGATTATGCAGCTGGGGTTGTTCAGCGTAGCGTTCAGCTTTGTAACCATGAAACGCGAGGGCGTGCTGCGTCGGCTGCTCGCCACACCACTGAACCCGGCGACGCTGCTGGTGGCGCAGGTATTCACCCGATTGGTGGTGGTGGTAATACAAACGGTGATACTGGCTGCGGTGGCGGTGTTCGTGTTTGGCGCCGAGTTCGCCGGCAACTTCTTCGCGGTGCTGCTGGCCGCCGGCATGGGTGGCGCCGTATTCCTGGCGTTGGGATTCGCCGTGTCCGGTTGGGCGCGTACTGAGCAACAGGCGGCGCCGCTGGCGAACATTGTCTCGCTGCCGATGATGTTCCTGTCTGGCGTTTTTTTCTCCCGCGACGTGTTGCCCAACGCGTTGCAGATCGTCACCGACTACCTGCCGCTGACCTACCTGGTGGAAGCCATCCGAGGCATGACGGTGCAGGGCGATTCCATCGTTACGCAGTGGCCCAACTTCCTGGGCCTGGCCGTGTGGCTTGTGGTAGCCTTTGTCATCGCCAACCGCCTGTTCCGGTGGGAATGACCCCGGACTATCAGGAATAAACAGGGAAACGCTATGTTTGACAATCTTACAGACCGCCTGACTGGAATTTTCAACCGCTTGCAGGGCAAGGGTCGCCTGACCGAAAAGGACATCGACGACGCCCTGAGTCAAGTCAGGCGTTCGTTGCTCGAAGCCGACGTTAACTTCCGAGTGGCGCGGGATTTTGTGGCCGCGGTGAAAGAGAGGGCGCTGACCGGCGAGGTATTGGATAGCCTGTCGCCAGGGCAACAGGTGGTGAAAATCGTCCACGAAGAACTAACCGACATTCTCAGCGCCGGCGACCATCGGCTAACGCCATCCAGCCAATTGCCATCGGGTTGATGTTGGTAGGATTGCAAGGGTCCGGCAAGACGACCACCGCGGCGAAGCTGGCCCTGCAAATGCGGCGACAAAGCCACAGCGCGATGCTGGTGGCCGCCGACTTGCGCCGTCCGGCTGCCATATCACAACTGGAAACCCTCGGCAAACAACTAGACCTGCCCGTATATTCTGAAGACCCGGCATCATCGACGCCGGCCAAAGTCGCGGCAGCGGGCCTGCGCCGAGCCACCGAACTGGCATTGACCTGGGTCATCGTTGATACGGGCGGCAGGTTGCACATCGACGAGGAGTTGATGGGCGAGTTGGAAGAGGTAAAACGTGCGGTGAATCCACACCAGACCCTGTTGGTGGTCGACGCCATGACTGGCCAGGATGCGGTGAATGCCGCCGAAGCATTTCACCAACAGATCGGCCTGGACGGGATGGTAATGTCCAAGATGGACGGAGATGCCAGGGGCGGGGCGGCGCTTTCCATAACGCGCGTAACCGGCGTTCCCATCAAGTTCATCGGTACTGGTGAACGACCGGACGGCCTGGAACCCTTCCACCCGGACCGGATGGCGTCGCGCATTCTGGCCATGGGCGATGTGATGACTCTGATTGAACGGGCGCAGGAGGCGGTGGACGAGGACAAGGCGAAGGAACTGGAACGCAAGATGCGTACCTCCAGTTTCACGCTAGACGATTTCCTGGACCAGATTCAGGGCGTCAAGAAAATGGGCGGGCTGGCATCCGTACTGGAAATGATGCCTGGCATCGGCAATGCCGCCAAAAAAATGCAAGGCCAGCTCGATGATTCCGAGTTACGCAAGACTGAAGCCATCATAAGCTCAATGACGATGCACGAACGCACCAGCCCGGAAGTCATCAAGGCCAGCCGCCGTCGCCGGATCGCGCTGGGCAGCGGTACCAACCCATCGGACGTCAACCGCGTGCTGAACCAGTTCAAACAGACGCAGCGACTGATGCGGCAGTTCTCCTCCAACCCCAAAGGAATCATGCGGATGTTCCGCTAGCCGACCGCAGCGGGTGATGGCCCTCCGCCTTGATTCAAGACTTACGACCCGGCGACCCGTCCGGCCCGGATGGCCGCGAAGATATACGCCGTCGCCAAAGACCGCCACGGCGACCACCGTTCGGAGAACTCCAGCAGCTGGTCGTCGGTTATTTCGGCGCCATCGAAGTACAGGCTGGCAACTGTCCGACGCAGCGCCAGGTCACCGATCGGAAACCCGTCCGCTCGCGCCAGACCCCGAACCAACACCCATTGCGCCGTCCAACGCCCTACGCCACGCATTGCCACCAGTTGGCTAATCACTTCGTCGTCGGTGAGTCGGCGAACCCGCGTCCAGTCCATCCGGAAGTTCGAGCTCAGTTTGAGCGATGTTCTGGATGTACTCCGATTTACGAACGCTGAGTTTGAGCTGACGTAGGTCGTCGATTGACGCCGTAGCCAGACTCTCGGCCCTCGGGAAGGCGTACCATTCCTGGCCGCCGATCGTGGAGCGGACACCGTAGTTCTGGATCAGCAAGTTCCGCACCACGCGGGCGACCGCCGTGGCAATCTGTTGACCCATCACTGCCTGCACCAACGCCTCGAATACCGACGCAGTACGAGTGCTGCGGAAGCCATAGAAATCCTTGACTACAGTAGCCAGCACTGCGTCATAGACTACAGAATCGTAAAAGGGGCGCACTTCCTGGTCACATCCCAGCAACCAGGTCAGTTGCGCGGTGGCTTGCTCGGCAGCGGTTCGGTTTATCCCATCGCCCGGTCAACGTGGCAACCAGGCGCGGTTCGTCAACCGTTCCGACGGAGCGCACCGAGGCCAGTACGGTATTGTCACCCAGATCAAGCAGCCGAACGTAAGCGCCATCGTCGAAGTGTTCGGTCTTGTACTCCTGTTCGCGGGAATAACTCGGTTGTCCCGCTGTCAATTCGTAGTCATACGGCGCGACTGGCAGGATTTCGGTTTCTATTGTGGTTTCCAAATTAGCGCTCCGGATTTCAGTGTTCGCAGCCGGTAATTGACTATACCGGTAAATATCGAAGGACGGTTAGAAAAGCTGACTCAATGCGATGTCTCCAAGTCCGGAATAGATTGGCCCTTGGTGCGTCAAGACGCTCTGGTACAAGCGGACGAGATCGGGTCGCCAAGCCGAGCATCCGGGGACTTCGATTTCAGCAATGGCGTCCAGGACCGCACGGTGTTGCGCATCCGATGCTCGATTTCGGATGCGCCCCAGCGTCAGGTGGGGCCGAAACGGGCGCTGTTCAGCGGGCCAACCCAGCGATATGACGGCCGACTCGGCTCCGCGCTGCAGGTTAGTCAAATGGTCGAGTTGCCCGGACACGCCGGCCCAAATCACGCGCGGATTGCCCCTCGGCGGAAACGTGCCCAAGCCGGACAGGGTGAGATTCGGAGCGACCGCCCCCGCCAGTTCACGTCGCAAGCCGGCGATTACCCCGGGGATTTGCGCGGGGTCAGTGTTGCCCAGGAACCTCAGGGTCAGATGCATACCGGCGAGATCAACCCACCGCACGCCGGCGGGGACGCGCGTCGCCAACTGGTGCGTCACGCCGCCTAACGACTCAATCCAGTCGGGCGGCAGCGGTAACGCGATGAAGGTGCGAATATTTTCTGCCGCGTGGCTCACCGTTTCAACTCGTCGCGCAGCTGTTTCAACTGCGAATACCACCCGGCCAGATCGGCCAACGAGTAACGAGCATTGGCCGGACTCGGATTGGGCACCACGAATACGATGCAGTCGCCGATAGTGTCAGTCTGGCGTCCCAGTTCGATCCGGCCGGCGCGGACTTTACCCTCGGCGTATCGCAAATAGCTACGGTAAGCGGTGAGTCCCTGGAAACAGGCGATCAATGGCTCGTGTTCGAATAACCTGCGGCGCAGCTCCGGAGCATCCCGTCGATAGTCGGCAGCAGTCAACCCTGACGCCTGAGGCGTGGCCCGTTTGACCAGGTCGGTGAACCCGATGCCTACATCAAGCAGACTACCGTCGTCCTCGGGCCCAACGCACCGTTCAGCCAGATTGGCGGCGCTGATTGCCGACCAGAACCGGTTGCGCGGATTGGCAAAGTAATGCCCGACGCGCACGGAATACTCGGACGGGTTGATTCCGATGAGCACTATGTCCAGACCGTGGCGCAGATGGTCCGGCAGCGTTTCGGAATCGGGGTTGTGTTGCGGAGCGGTCATGCCGGCGCCAGTCCCAACAGGGACGCCGCGTTTTCACTCATGATGGCGTCGTGCTCCGCCCGACCGAGCCCGGCGTCTTGAACATAGTCCACAACTCGCCGGTGTCGGAGCAGCGGGTAATCCGTGCCAAACAGGAAGTGTTCGGCTCCAGCCGTGGCAACGGCAGCGCGAATGGCATCAGAGCGATACAAGAACGGAAGCGCCGCGGTGTCATACCAAACGTTTGTCAACGCGGCCGATACTTCCGGCATGGCAGCGTAAAACGGCAAGCCGCCGCCCAGGTGAGCAAGCACAACGCGGTTGTCGGGAAAATGTCGCGCGAAAACCAACAGGCGTTCCGGCGTGGTTGCTCCTTTACCTGGGTACAGATGCCCCACCGGTTCTGATGCGTGGATGGTGATGGGCAGGTTCCAGCGCAACAGCTCTCCCATGAGAGGTGCCAGAATATCGTAATTGGTGATTTCGAACTGCTGGGTATCGGCGTGCAGTTCACCGATTCCGACGGCTCCCAAATCGAAACTACGCCTGGCTTCATCAACTGCGGCAGCGCCCCAAACGGGGTTCACAGATGCAAAGGCAGACAACCTGTCCGGGTGAGCGCGGGCTGCCTGGAGCAGATAATCGTTCACCTCAACGGCAATGGCGGCGTCCGTCCAACCAAATCCCATCACCACCGCGCGGTCGATCCCGGCGGTGTCCATGTCGCGCAGCAACTCATCGGCATCGGCGATGAGGCTTCCGGGTTGGGGAAATAGCTCAGCAAAAGTCGCATCGCGGGCGGCAAGGTCATGATGCCGTCCAGCGAACTCGGGCGGCATCAGGTGGCAATGGGCATCTATAATCATGGTTACATAACGGGCGATTCGGCACCTTGCTAACGCTCGTTAGTATAGGGTATTTGGGGAACATGGCGGGATTTTGCTAACGAGCGCGCGGTCGTTCGCAGATAGTGTTCGTCGATTATCCAGCCGTCAAATGTCCCCGCTCACGCTGAGGTTTTAGAGGGGCCACCGTAAGCCCATCGAACCATGAGTTTGCGCCCTTCTGGCCACTCGAGATGTTCCTTCGACGAACTCAGGATACGCGTAGTAGTCAAAATCGGTAGACAATAAACACACCCGGCTCGCAACAGCCGCGATGTGGACACCGCCCAACACGGCGCATATAATCGAACCCGCCGCTCCCCACTCCCATGCTCAGCAGCAGGTGACGCTTTGTCCGCAGTGACCCAACCCGTATTAGCCGTCGACGAAATGCGAACCACGTCGCAGGAATTACGTCGTGACAGCCTGGAAATGATATACCGCGCCGGCAGTGGTCACCCCGGCGGTTCTTTGTCGGAAATGGACATCTTGGTGGCGCTCTATTTCGGTGTTATGAGATACGATGCGGCCGATCCGGGGTGGATTGACCGCGACCGATTCATCCTCAGCAAAGGGCACGCATCGCCCGGTTTTTACGCAACCCTGGCCCGGGCCGGGTATTTCGATCGCGAGGAGCTGGCCTCGTATCGACGCACCGATGGCCTGCTGCAAGGACACGCTCACCCGATCACTCCGGGCGTCGAAATGAACTCTGGCTCATTGGGTATGGGCTTGTCGTTCGCGCTGGGTCACGCCTTGGCTGCCCGGTTGGACGGACGCAACTACCGGGTGTTTGCCCTGCTCGGCGACGGCGAATGTCAGGAAGGCCAGGTGTGGGAAGCCGCCATGTCCGCCGCCCACCACAAGGCGACCAACCTGGTAGCCATCGTAGACCGCAACCGCATCCAGAACGACCGGTTCACCGACGAAGTGATGACCCTGGAGCCGCTGGGAGACCGGTGGCGTGATTTCGGCTGGAACGTGTTGCATTGCGACGGGCACAAGTATGACGAAATCCTCGACACCCTCCGAGCGGCGATTGAATCGGGGCCATCCGTAATCATCGCTGATACCGTCAAGGGTAAGGGGGTCAGTTTCATGGAAAACAACCCCGGCTTCCACGGGAGAGCCCCTAACCAGGAAGAGTACGAAGCAGCGTTGAAGGAGTTGGCCTGATGGCAACCACCCGGGAAATGGTCGCCAACCGTGAGGTCTACGGCCGAACCCTGCTGACCATGGCCGAGGACTACCCCGATATCGTGGTGCTGGGCGGGGACCTGAATGTTTCTACCTTCGTGCACCTCTGGCGGGATCAATACCCGGACCGGTTTTTTGACTTTGGCCCCGCCGAGCAGAATATCGTTGGCGTCGCGGCCGGTCTTGCCGCCGCCGGCAAAATTCCGTTCGTCAGCACCTTCAGCGTATTCGGCACTGGTCGTCCGTACGACCAGTTGCGCGTGCTCATATCCCAGCCTTCTTTGAACGTTAAACTGGTATGCACCCACGCCGGCATCCTGACCGGCGAAGACGGAATGTCTGCTCACAGCATCGAAGACCTGGCATTGATGTGCGCGCTGCCGTCATTCAGGGTAGTTACGCCGGCCGATTCTGTCGAAACGGAACAGGTAATCCGATCCGCTGCCGCCACTAACGGCCCGGTTTACGTGCGGTTGCCCAGAGCCGCTACGCCCGTTGTCCACACCAACGGGTACAGGTTCAACATGGCCGGAGCAGATACCCTGCGGCCCGGCAACGATGTCAGCATCATCGCCGCTGGATCGCTAGTGGCCCCGGCTCTGGATGCCGCCGACAGCCTGGCCGACAAGGGTATTGACGCCAGGGTTATTAACTTGCACACGTTGGCGCCCGTACACGAAGAAACCATCGTTGCTGCCGCCCGCGAAACCGGCGCCCTGGTTACCGCCGAGGAAACACTACATCCACGGCGGCTTGGGTAGCGTGGTTGCTGGGGTCGTTGCCCGGCAATGCCCGGTTCCGATTGAAATGATGGCCCTGAAGGGTTACACCGGCTCTGGCCCAGCCTACGAACTGATGGCTAAAAATGGTTTGACCGCCGAAGGCGTGGAACAAGCAGCGCTACAGGCGGTCAGCCGGAAAACGCGCGTAACGAATGTCAGCCCGGCTTGCTGTGCGGTAAAACCGCCGGTGTCAGACGGTAACTAGTCTCCGGAACCCGCTGGTGGAGGCAACGGCCCGTGGCCGTGCCCGTTTCCATTCCCGCTGTAATCGCCCTCGCCGTCATCGCTGAACACCCGGATTTCAGTGCCCTGAAACACGTGATACAGGTGCGATTCCCGCTCTGAACCCACGGTGTTCAGCATATCGGCGTCGATGTCGGAGATAATTTCCTCAATCTGATCTGAAGTCAGACTTTGGTCGATGGCGATGGCGATATGCGCGATCCCGGGCAGAAAGTGAGTATCGATTCGGCCCACCGCATTCTCCCCGTCCAGGATAAGAAACGCCTCTGAATTGGCGGTGCGGACTTCACGTTCGTAGTCGTAAGGCATGGTTGTTACATCATTCCCGTACCTGGCCGTCGCCGCGCACAATCCATTTATAGGATGTCAACTCGCGCAGGCCGAGGGGACCACGGGCGTGATACTTCTGGGTGCTGATCCCAACCTCCGCGCCCAGGCCGAACTGAGAGCCATCGGTGAACCGCGTGCTGGTGTTGTGGTACACGGCGGCGGCATCCACCTCGTTCAGAAAACGCTGGGCGGCTTCGTGGTCCTGGGTTACGATGGCTTCAGAGTGCCCCGAACCGTAAACTTGTATGTGATTCAACGCATCGTCCAGGCTATCCACGATTTTCACGGCTGCGATGAGAGCGAGGAACTCCCGGCCCCAGTCATCCTCATTGGCCGGCGTCGTGTGCAGCCCGTCTCCGGGACCCAGGATGCTCAACGCCCGATGGTCACAACGCATCTCAACTCCGGCGTCGTTCAGCCGGGACGCGATCTCAGGCAAACAGCGCGCCGCAGCATCCGCATGAATCAGCACCGCATCCAGGGCGTTGCACACCGTGGGGCGCTGAACTTTGGCGTTAAAGATGATGCTGGCGGCCATATCTGTGTCGGCGTCGCGGTCAACGTAGGTGTGGCAGACGCCGACCCCTCCGGTTAGCACTGGCATGGTCGCTTTTGCTGCCACATAATTGATCAAGTCACTCCCCCCACGGGGGACCAGCAGGTGGATGTGTTGCTTCATCCCTAGCATTACATCTACCAGAGAGCGATCGGTGTCATTGACGAATTGCACCGCGTCGGTGGGCAAACCCGCTTCGCCCATGGCCCGATGAACCAACCGTACCAGCGCCGAGTTGGAGCGCAGGGTTTCTTTGCCTCCCCGCAGGATACAGGCGTTACCCGATTTGAGCGCGAGCGAAACGATGTCAGTGGTAACGTTGGGCCGGCTCTCATAGATGCTGGCAATAACACCCAGAGGGATGCGGCGTTTTTCCACTTTTAGCCCGTTTTCCATCACAAAAGATTCCAGGAGTTCACCCGCCGGGTCGGGCAGCGCGGCAACTCCGCGAACATCGGCGGCCATGCCGTTCAGGCGGTCCGGGGTGAGCAACAGGCGGTCCAAAAACGCATCGCTGATGCCAGAGTACTGGGCGTCTCGGTAATCTGCGGCGTTGGCTTCCAGCACCGCGCTTTGCTCGGTTTCCAGGACGCTGGCAAGGTTCTGTAAGGCGTGGTTTTTAGCGCACGTCGGCAACCGGGCCAGCACCGACGATGCGGCTTGGGCGGCGGCGCCCTGTTGGTAAAGTAAGTCGGCGGCGGTCATCGGTTGTTCTCCTGAATGCCAAGGCGGCGACGACTACAGCAACACCAGGTTGTTGCGATGCACCACTTCCTGGCCGTATTGGTAGCCGAGCGTCTCAACTATGCGGTCGGAACGGATCCCGCGAATGAGATCGATGTCTCCAGCTGAGTAACTGGAGATTCCACAGGCCACCTGGCTCCCAACCTCGTCTACTACGTAAATGATATCTCCCCGGCCAAAATCCCCCACCACACCCCGAACGCCCGCCGGAAGGAGACTGACGCCGTTGCGTTGCAGAGCGGACACCGCGCCAGCGTCCACCACGACGGCGTGCGAATCGCTGTCGCCGGCGCAGCTGATCATCCAGCGCTTGCGGGCTTCCAACTTGCTGTCCGCCGGTCGGAAGTAGGTGCCAGTCGGTTCGCCGCCCACGACACGCAACACGACGTTCTCATCGCGCCCACGGCAGATGGTCATGGCGATACCAGACGTGGTAACCAGTCGGGCGGCATCGAGTTTCGTCGGCATACCACCCCGGGCCCAGGCGTTGCGATGCCGGCCCGCCATAGCCGTAACACCGTCATCGACCAGATCGACCACCGGCACCAGAGTTGCATCGGGATCAATTTTAGGGTCGGCCGTATACAGGCCGTCGACATCCGATAGTATGACGAGCAGATCAGCGTCGATCAGGGCGGCGATCAGAGCGGAGAGGCGGTCGTTGTCGCCAAAAACTTCACCAATCTCATCCGAAGCCACCACGTCGTTTTCGTTTACGATGGGAACAATGCCCAACTCGAGCAAAGAAAGCAGTGTGTTGCGGATGTTAAGGTACGACTGACGTTGGGTCGTGTCATTTATCGTCAGCAACGCCTGCGCTACGCAAACGCCGTGGTGGCCGAATAGCTCCGTGTAGGTCTGCATCAGCCGGCCTTGACCCAATGCCGCCAGCACCTGCCGCGTCGAAATATCAGGCATATCCGGCACGTTGTTGGACTCGGCCAAAGCCTGTCGGCCCGCTGCGATTGCGCCCGAAGTTACCAGGAGCATCTGAACCTCTTGCTCGTTCACCAACTGGCTGATTTGCCGCACCAAATCGGCCATCACCGCAGCGTCCAGGGCTACAGACTTTGATGCGCCGCCGGAACTGCTGCCGGTGAGCACGTTGGTGCCGGCTTTCACAACCACCCGGCGGTATGCGGTCGAGTTCATTGATGTGTCTCAGGAACTGGATGCGGCAGGACGACCACGGCGCCTTGCGGTTAATTGCCCGGTAACAGGGTTGGGCGAGGTGCCGTGAATTATATCACGCACTGTTTGGCGCACCTTGAAATCCACCGCACCGGGGGCGTAAAATCCTAGCATGGGGGTGGCTGTGGTCAGTCCCGCTTCGGCGTGTACGACCCCTACGTCGCCGTCAGACAACACGAACAAACGGCAGGAATATGGCTCTATCCGGTCTGCTTTCTTTACTCGGCTCACAGCCGTTTATCCAGCGCCATCTGCGCAATTTGCGCGCTGAGCGCGCCCGAGCGAGTTTGACGGTGCCAGCCGACCACCAACCGGTGTACGTCGGCACCCTTTGGCATCTGCAACAGCGGCCAATCGTGGTGATCACGCCCCGCCTCGAAGACGCCCGCCGACTCCACGACCAGCTTTTAACCTACCTTGGCGAAGACGTTCCAGTATTCCTGCTGCCCGAACCGGAAGTGCTGCCCTTCGAGCGTCTGGCGGTGGACGCGCGTTCGGTAAATCAACGGCTGACGGCGTTGGGGGCGCTGGCAACTCTGGGGCAGGCTGACGCGGACGAAATTCCTCCATTGGTGGTCACATCGGTCTCAGCAGCATTGCGTCTGACGCTGCCGCCGCATCTGGTAGCAGGTAAACACCCTACGCCCCATCACCCCGACCGCCTGCAGAAAGGTGGCCGCATCCATTCCCTCGACGCGTTGCTGTCGGCGTGGGTCGAATTGGGATACCGGAATGAACCCCAGGTGGACACGCCAGGAAGTTTCAGCTTGCGCGGAGGCATTCTGGATGTGTTCCCCCCTGACGCGGAACTCCCGTACCGCATCGAGTTGTGGGACGACGAGATCGACACCATTCGCAGGTTCGACCCTGAAACGCAACGGTCGGTGGAGGAGGCAGACCACGTTCGCGTCATCGCTGCCGCTGAGCAGTTGCCCGACCTGGTCAACCCAGATGCTTTCGACGAGCGGCGCCGCCACATCGATCTTTCACCATGTTCTCCGACCTCCGTCGCCCGGTTTCAGGAAGAATTGGGCACCCTGTTGGCCCACCCGAATCCCGAAACGGTGTCTTATTACAACGGCCTGCTCAACAGCAACACTTTCGCCGAATACCTGCCCGCTGACACTCTGGTCGTTTTCGACCGGCCCGCTCGACTGAAAGGAGAAGCGGAAGAGCTGGCAGAGAAATACCGCCAGCAACGCGAAACCCGCCAGGATCGCGGCGAACTGCCCTACGGCTTCCCCTCACCCAACACCGACTGGAGCACGTTGCTGGAACAAATGGATGGAGCCGGCATCGCCACGGTGGGCCTGGAACGCTGGGCCACTGACAACGACAACCAGGTTGTGCAACCGTTGCCAGATACAATGGCGGGCCTGTCGTTTTTCACCGCTGACGTGGCGGACCGAGTTAGCAACGGCGGCGCAGTTGTTGCCGTCAGTCAACACGCCAGCCGGTTGGAAGAAGTCCTGAGCGATGCCGGCGTGAAGTCCCAACTGGTGGAAACGTTGCCGACTCGTCCGAGGAGCGGCCAGGTGTATTTAATTGCCGGCGGCCTGCGTAAGGGTTGGCAAACCGAAGGATCCGAGACCAACTCCGGGGTAGCCGTGTATACCGATGCCGAGTTGTTTGGCACGGTCAAGGAACGTCGTTATCGAGCGCCTCGGGTCAGGCGGAATATGGGCGAAGCGGTAACGCTGGCCGAATTGACGCCCGGCAGTTACGTGGTTCACATTGACCATGGGGTGGCCCGTTTTGCCGGAACAACCCACCTGGATACTCCCGGCGACGAACGGGAATATCTGGTGCTGGAATATGCTGGCGACGACCGACTATATGTGCCGACCGAGCAGCTGGATCGATTGGGGTCATACGTCGCCGCGACCGACGAGCAACCGACACTAACCCGATTGGGCGGTAACGAATGGCAGCGCATCAAAGAGCGGGCCAAAGGCGCAGCACGTGAAATCGCGGAGGAGTTACTCCGCCTCTACGCCACGCGCGAATCCGTGGACGGCCATCGCTTTGGGCCGGACGCGACCTGGCAACGCGACCTGGAAGACTCCTTCCCCTACGTCGAGACGCCCGACCAGATGCGCGCCATCGATGAAGTCAAAGGCGATATGGAAGTATCCCCGCCCGATGGATCGGTTGATTTGTGGAGATGTGGGCTACGGAAAAACCGAGGTTGCGCTGCGAGCGGCATTCAAAGCGGTGAACGAAGGTATGCAGGTGGCCGTGTTGGTGCCGACCACCGTTCTGGCCCAACAGCACTACGCGACGTTTGCCGAACGGTTGGCGCCGTACCCGGTTAAGGTTGACGTATTGAGCAGGTTCCGCACCCACAAGGAGCAGGCCGCCGTGGTCGATGCCGCCAAGACCGGCGGTGTCGATATCGTCATCGGTACTCACCGCATCTTGCAGAAGGACGTTGCCTTCAGCAACCTGGGACTCGTGATCGTGGACGAAGAACACCGGTTCGGCGTGGCCCACAAAGAACGGTTGAAGCAAATGCGCGCCGAGGTGGACGTGCTCACCCTCAGCGCCACGCCCATCCCGCGTACCCTGCACATGGCCCTGGCCGGCGTCCGGGACATGAGCGTCATACATACGCCGCCCGAAGCTCGTTTGCCGGTGCGGACTTTCGTTTCAGAAGACAGTGGCGAACTCGTGCGAGAGGCAATCCTGCGGGAAATCGAACGCGATGGGCAGGTCTTTTTCCTGCACAACCGCGTCCGCACTATTCACCAGGTTGCCGAAGACCTCAGCAAGTTGGTTCCGGAAGCGCGGATATTGGTCGGCCACGGCCAGATGCCGGAAAACGAGCTAGAAGACGTGATGGTGGAATTCTCCAATCGTGAGGCCGACGTTCTGGTTTGCACTACCATCATTGAGTCCGGTCTGGATATGCCCAACGTTAACACCATCATCATCGATCGTGCCGACCGGTTCGGCCTGGCTCAGCTCTACCAGCTGCGCGGGCGCGTCGGACGCGGCGATCATCGGGCCTACGCCTACCTGCTACTACCTGACCACGGGGACATAACCGAAGCAGCCAGCCAGCGAATTCACGCCATCCTGGAGGCCACGGAACTTGGCGCCGGATTCCGCGTTGCCATGCGCGACCTGGAAATTCGCGGCGCTGGCAACCTGTTGGGCGCCGACCAGAGCGGTCAGATTCATGCCGTGGGACTGAATCTGTACTCCCAGTTGCTGAGCCAGGCCGTTGAGGAACTTAGTCGCAACGGCAGCGCTGCGGTCCAGACTGAAATCGAACCACCCCCTCGCATCGATCTGCCGATACCGGCCAGCATTCCGGAAGACTATATCGCCCATCTGCCGGCTCGATTGGCTTTTTACCAACGGTTGTCGCAAATCACCGACCGAACCCATATCGGAGCAGTGCGCTCCGATATGCAAGACCGTTTCGGCCCGCCGCCCATCGAGGTTGAAAACCTGCTGGCGGTAACCGACCTCCGGTGCCTCGGCGCTGCCGCCGGGGTCGAATCGCTCAGCTCTCCGACCGCGGGAACGGTCACGGTAGTGTTTCGTCAGGCGGTCGGCGATGCGAGGCTGGCGTTGCAAAAATCGCTGGGCACAGCGGTGAAGGTGGGTCGGCGGGACATGGAAGTGCGGGTTGCCGCCGACGCGGATTACGGATTGGCCCGCTTGGGCAGGACTCTACGCCGGGTGATTGCCTTCATTGATGAGATGCACCAGGCGATGCAGGCTGCCCAGGCAGCGTCCGTCGACACTGCGCCCTCCGCAGAGGACGACGGCAGCGGCGACGTCAAGCGCCCGGGGCGTCGGCGCAATCGCAACCGAACCAGGCAACCCGCCGCCGCTGATTGAACGCTCATGTTGAATTGTCATCGTCCGAATCTGGCGGCGGCGGGGTCGGTTGGCTCCGAACCGCCATACGCCACGCTCCCGTGAAGTAAATCGCCCCGGTGACGACCGCGACCAAGGCGAGTACGACGCCCAATGCGATCCACAGCGGGGAGTAATCCGGCGGGCTCGTGATTGACACGTCCAGGCGCGCATTCGGCGCATCGTCGGGAGGTTGCTATCCGGTGGCATTGAATTCCCAATTATCAGCGTCTGCAATCGTCGTGGCGTACTCCAGAACGTCGCGCACATCCGACGATTTGACGACCAGAACCAAATCGACGGAATGGTCATCGCCCCGCCGCGTCTCGTTAAATCTTTCCACGTAACCGCCCAACGATTCCGCCCTTTCCCGCAGCAGCCGGCCTGTGTCGGCGGGTTCCACCGCGTTCAGGTTGATTTCGGCGTCTACGCCGGAATTCGACATGATTGTGAGCAAGAGTCGGGCGTCGTGCGCATTGCCAGCCGGGGGGTCGCCAACCGAGTTCAGATTGCGAGCTGATGGCACGCCCAACGTGGCGGCGTAGTCCATCAGGCCCTTGAGGTCGGTCGACCGAACGAATACTGCTGTCTCTACTACGAAACCGGAGGTACCCTGCTGATATTCCCGCTTGGTTCCGATGTATCCCCCCAGCGACACGACGCGGGCGCGAATGGAGTCAGCAACGGCGGAAGGGTCGCCCACTGACAACGTAAGCGTTGCGTCGGGCGCTTCGGAAACCAGGCGATTGGGGAACGCCAGCTGCACCGTTACTAACGCCGTCGCCACTCGTCCGGCCAGATTTCGCTGCGTAGCCTCAACGACCTCTATGTCCGTTCTTACTTCCGAGATACGCTGCTCGATTTCCACTATGTCTTCCACGGTGCGGGCGCTCTCCAGAAGCCGAATGAGGCGAGTTTCCTGTGTGCGCCAAGCGGCCAAACGCGAATCATTATCCACCAACTGCTCGGTAACATCCGTTGCCGAAACCTGCTCTTCAACCACGCGTCCCAAGCCCCTGAATTGGATCATGGCGTCACCGACCTTGACAGAGGGTACGCGGACACTGACCCTCGCAGAACGCAATCCGCCATCGCCGCTAACCTCGGCAGACTCCGTCCAACCGCCAAATCCAGCGGCGATAGATTCGATCTCGCGCACTCTGGCATCAATGTCAGTGACTTCCAGGTCCAAGGCTGGCTTCTATCACGAGTTGACGGTTGGCCTGCCCTTGTACCACGCTAGCGCCATCGGAGCCAGCAGATTGCGCCGAACGGATGGCTGTCGAATTCGTGCCTGTATCAGAATTCGCGCTCACGATCGCTGTCGGAGCACTTTGACCTCGACTTCTGGCGCGGCGGCCATGCTATCCATCGAAGAGACGGATTCTCCGGTGGGTTGTTGTTCTGCTGAACTGGCGCATGCCAACCCCACCGCCATCAATCCCAAAGCCATCAATATGACCGGGAACAGGTGCCGAAATCCCCTACTCTTCATGGCCACTCCTTCGTTTTTCGATTCACCAATTATACGCACACGCGTCTTATCTGGATTACAGGCAACTACCCGGAGCGACCGTCGGAACCTTGACGCAACGACGGGGAAAACGAGTCCACATGCTATAATCTACTCACAGTCGGGGTGTAGCGCAGTGGCTAGCGCGCCACGTTCGGGACGTGGAGGTCGGTGGTTCGAATCCACTCACCCCGACCATCTCTTTGCCCTGATGGGTTCGCCCTACTGTGGCATCCTGAATCGATGCACCGGGCCCATTGGTTCCTCACTGCTATAATGTCGGCAGCACAATCGTCAGGAGGCGCAGGATGGCCCGCCGCAGTTTCTGGGCGTGGGGAATGGAAGACCAGCAACCGTCGCACGAGCAATATGTCGCGATGGCGCAGCGGTTGCACGATCGGTACGGCGCCACCCTAGAGCTTCCCAAACCACCAACTGATGCAGACTTGAACCTGCGTAAGCCCCGCATTCTGCCACACCCCCTGGTCGCTGAATATTGCTCCACCGACGACCATGACCGGGCAACGCATAACTACGGTCGAAGTTTCAGAGACCGCATCCGCGGGTTCAACTGCCAGTTTCCCAACCCTCCCGACGTAATTGCCTTTCCGCGCACCGAAGCCGAAGTAACAACCGTACTCGACTGGTGCTCAAACTCCAATATCGTAGCAATCCCATACGGCGGTGGGAGCACGGTGGTTGCCGGCGTTGAACCCCCCGAAAGTAACGCCGTGGTTACCATCGACCTTACGCGACTGGACCAGGTACTGGAAATCGACGAGACATCACGAGCGGCGCGCATCCAGGGCGGTGTGCTGGGGCCGGCGCTGGAAGCGCAACTGCGTCCGAAGGGATATACCCTCCGGCACTTCCCTCAAAGTTTTGAGTTCTCAACCCTTGGCGGCTGGATCGCCACCCGCAGCGGCGGGCACTACGCAACCAACCACACTCACATCGACGATTTCGTGGAGTCGGTACGGATGGTTACCCCATCGGGAGTTTGGGAGTCGCGGCGACTACCCGGCAGCGGCGCCGGCCCGTCACCCGACCGGATGGTCATCGGCAGTGAGGGGATCCTGGGCATCATCACCGAAGCATGGATGCGTATTCAGGCACGCCCCCGATTTCGCGGGTCGGCGGGCGTAGTTTTCGAAAGCATGGAAGCCGCATCCGAAGGTGCCCGCCTTATCGCCCAAGCCAAAATGTGGCCGGCCAACCTGCGTATGCTCGATCCTGCGGAAGCGCAAGACTTCGCCAATCTGGACGGTAAACAGGCGTTGCTGATTATCGGCTTTGAGTCTGCTGAATTGCCCCAGGGAGACAACATTCGCCAAGCCGTGGCCATCGCCCGGGACGCCGGCGGAACGATTGCCGAGGACAATATCGTGGTCGCTGATGCTGCCCAGCGTTCAGACACGTCCGCCGGGCGACAAGGCGCGGTGGGGAGTTGGCGCAACTCGTTCATCAACGCCCCGTATGAAAGGAACACCACCGTTGGATTTGGAGTGGTTGCTGAAACCTTCGAAACCGCGATCACCTGGGACCGGTGGCCCGCTATGGACGCTCGCATCCGTTCGGATTTGCAAGACGCCTTGCAACGCACCTGCGGCAACGGCCGCGTTTCCTGCCGATTCACCCATGTATACGCCGACGGACCCGCTCCCTATTACACGTTTGAAGCCCTGGGCAAGGTCGGCGGTGAATTGGAAGCCCACGCCGCAATCAAACAGGCTGCATCCGACGCTGTGATGGCGGCCGGCGGCACCATCACACACCATCACGCCGTAGGGCGGGCGCACCGTCCCTGGTACGACGAACAACGTCCCGACCCGTTCGCCGAGGCGTTGCGAGCGACCAAACGTGCTCTGGATCCCAATGGCATCCTGAATCCCGGCGTGCTGATAGACCCATAGCATCACAGGAGGAACTGTCCGATGCGAGGCGTAATATTTATCGGCGACCGCGAGGTCGAAATCCGCAATTTGAACGATCCTCAACCCCGGGGCAGGCGAAGTCGTCATCGCGATGAAAGCCTCCGGTTTATGCGGCAGCGACTTGCGCCATTACCGGGCCGCCAGGGCAGATCGCGGCGATCCGGCCAACCTGAAAGTCGCGGGACACGAACCGTGCGGGGTGATTGCCGAGATTGGCTCAGGCGTTACCGAAGTGGAGGTTGGCGACCGGGTGATGATGCACCACTACACCGGCTGCCGAACCTGCACCATGTGTCGTATAGGTTACACGCAGATGTGCCTGAACGGTTCTACCGTTTACGGCACTGGCGCCAACGGGGGCCACGAGGACTATCTCATCTGCCCGGCCTACACCTGCGTGAAGATGCCTGACGGGTTGGATTTTGATGAAGGCTCGGCCTGCTCCTGCGGCACCGGCACTGCGTTTCACGCCTTGAAACGGTTGCGTCTGGCCGGCGACGACACCATCGCCATTTTCGGCCAGGGACCGGTTGGAGCCAGTGGCACGATGTTTGCCAAGGCGATGGGCGCCCGTGTCATCGCGGTGGACGTGGATAACGAGCGTTTGCAGTTAGCTCAGCGTCTGGGCGCCGATGTCTGCATCGACGCCAGCACGCAGAATCCGGTCGAAGCCATTCGGGAGCTGACTCACGGCGAGGGTGCCCGGCTACTCTGGACTGCACCGGCCGGCCGGAAGCACGATCAATGCAGTGGACGCTGCCATGCTGTGGGGCCGGGTTTGTTTCGTCGGCGAAGGCAACACCACCACCTTCGACGTGAGCCCACAAATCATCCACAAACAGTTGACGATTTTGGGCTCCTGGACCTTCAGCCTCAACGGACTGGAAGAGGTGGCGCGCTTCGTCGTTGACCGCCAAGTTCCGCTCAAGGACCTGTTTACTCACCGCTTCAGGGCTGGACGAAGCCGACGCCGCCTACAAGCTCTTCGACGCCGGCGGCACCGGAAAAGTCTGCTTTACCTGGGACTGAGCCTGCATCGTCGCCCCGCCTCGATCACTCGGTGAGGAGCTGGGGCAATACCTTCTTGTTGAACAGGCGCAGTGACGCGGTCTGCAGTTCGTCGGACATCAGGTTGCCGTAGTTGATCTCGTAGATGCACTGATCAAGGCCCAGAGGTTTCTCGAGGTCGGCCAAGCGGTCGGTTACCTGGGCCGGCGTGCCGTAGACGACCTTATCCCGCAGCCAGTCGTCGTAATCCATGCCCAGGATGCGCCGGCTCTGCTCAGCCCAGTCGCCCAAGGTTCCGGTTCGACCGGCGTAGGAACCTACCCGGTTGCCCAGCCGCGTTATCGAGTTCACGGCCGATTCCTTGGGGTTCAGGTAGGCCCGCTCGGCGTCCTCGTTGACATAAACCGGCACACGTATACCCACCTTGCCCTCACCGGGATGGCCGGCGTTTTTCCAAGCCGCGCGGTAGGCGGCGGTATGCTCGGCGAGTTCGTCCAGGGTGAACACGCGGGACGGATTGACGATGAGCGGGTAACCCATGGCGCCCACGATGGGGAAGCTCTCCGCGGACGTGACGCCAATGGTGATGGGCGGGTGCGGCTGTTGGTAGGGCCGCGGCGTCACCGTCAGTTCGTCGCAGGAAAAGTGCTCGCCGTGAAAGGAGAAGGTTTCCTGCGTCCAGGCGGTCACCACCACCTCCAGGAATTCGTCGAAGCGACTTCGGCTCTCTTCAAATGAGACGTTGAACCCTTCGTGCACGTTGGGGAAGGTTCCGCGACCGATGCCCATCTCCAGCCGGCCATCGCTGATGTGGTCCAGCACCGCCATTTCCTCGGCCACGCGGATGGGGTGACCCAGCGGCAGGCAGTACACCGCCGTCCCGATCCGCATGGTGCTGGTTTTGGCGGCGATGGCCGTCGCTATGGTTACTGGCGATGCCAGCACGCGTTCCATGTTGAAGTGGTACTCGGCCAGCCACACTGATTTCACGCCCAAATCCTCGGCTTCCTGCACCAGCCGAAATGACTGGTAAGCTCGTGGTGGTCGCCGTCGATGGGCCGCGGGAATTCTAGGAACAGTCCGAACTCCATGATAATCCTCCTGATACAAATGTCGTTCGGTAATAAACCGACTCGTCGTGACGGTGGCTTGCTGCTGACGATAACTCGCCGCTGGCGGTAATTTGTTAAACCTGCGAACCCTGAATCCGGCGTTCGTGTCCCTGCCACTCTTTATCCCTGAGGATAAATTTCTGAATCTTGCCAGTGGCCGTCTTGGGTAAATCGCCAAACTCGACGCTTTTGGGCGCTTTGAAGTGGGCAATGCGGTCGCGCGTAAAGCCGATGATTTCGTCGGCAGCAAGTAACGGTTCCGCCGGCACGGGGCACCACGAAAGCCTTGGGCACTTCTCCCCAATGTTGGTCTGGTACGCCCACCACGCAAACTTCAAGCACGCCCGGATGTTCCATGATGACCTTTTCCACTTCCTGGCTGGAAATATTCTCGCCGCCGGAAATGATGATGTCCTTGGAACGGTCCTGCAACTCGATGTAGCCATCGGGATGCTGCACTGCCAGGTCTCCCGAATGGAACCAACCGCCGCGAAACGCTTCCTCGGTGGCCGGCCCGTCCTTGTAATAACCCTTCATCACGGCATCGCGCGCATTACTACCTCGCCCATCGTCTCGGCATCGCGAGGCACGTCCTGCATGTCTTCGTCCACCACGCGCAACCCGACACCGTAAACCATATAGGGCACGCCCTGGCGCGCTTTGACGCGGGCCAGGTCTTCGGAACTCATCTGGTCCCACTCCGGTTGGGGTGCGGCTACCGTGCACGGCCCATAGGTTTCCGTCAGGCCGTAAACGTGGATGATTTCTGCGCCCATCCCTTCAATGGTACGGATAACCTGCGGAGCCGGTGGGGCGCCGGCGGTCATAATAGTGAGGCCGGTAAGATCGGCGGTGGCGGCCTCCGGCGCGGAGTACAGTCCAGTGAGCACGGTCGGAGCGGCGCATAGGTGGGACACAGATTCCTCGCGAATCAGCCGGTACACCTCGGCGGGGTCAACGCGCCGCAGGCAAACGTGGGTCCCTCCAACCGCAGTGACGGCCCACGGGAAACACCAGCCGTTGGCGTGGAACATTGGCAGCGTCCAAAGGTACACGCTGCGCCAGTTCAAACCTATCTCCATGGCCTCGCCAATGGCGTTGAGGTAGGCGCCGCGGGGGGTATATTCGACGCCTTTTGGCATCCCGGTAGTTCCAGACGTGTAGTTAATGGTAGTGGTGTCGTTTTCGGATGCCGGCCCGGGCAGTACCGCGAGAGGTTCAACCGCAGCGAGCCACTGTTCATACTCAGGGCCGGCGATGTCGTCGGCCAGCGGCACCGTGTCCCGTACCTGCACGTAGGTTTCAATGCCGGGGCATTCGCCGCGCAGTTGACGCACGGTGTCTGCCAACTCAGAATCGAACACGAGGACTTTGGAACCGGAGTGGTTCAGAATGTACGCGATTTCACGGGACGAGAGCCTGATATTGAGGGCCACCAACACCGCGCCAATGCCCATCGGCGCAAAGTTCGCTTCCAGCATTGCCGGCAGGTTTGGCACCAGGTAAGCCACCCGGTCGCCGGCTCGGACGCCCACGCTTTGCAGCGCGGCAGCATGGCGGCGCACGCGTTCATGGAGGCTGCCGTAGGTGGTAACCGCGCCGTTGTAGATGCAGGCAGCACGATCCGGATACACCGCTGCGCTGCGCTCAAGAAACGACATTGGGGACAGGACTTGTGATGTCGCGCTGTCAATCGTCATCGAAGTAGCCTCCCGTTAGCGCGAAAACTTTGAACGATCAGCAATCATTCGGCTGGTCGTCATTCTAAACCGTAATCGCTGATTAATGCTGCAATTCGGCCCGTTACGCGTATAACTCGGTTTTTTTACCCATACAGTCTGCTGACATTTCGGCGCTAGCTCCGCAACGGGCGGCCCGCAAGGACAGTAAGGCCTGACGCAGTTTGGTGGGTCATGGCCCGACGGACTGATCATGTCCCTCGCCGAATGCGATGATACTACGAGTTGGACGGAAATTTCACAAATCCAAGTCCGTCTGGTCGCTCGGGAAGCCGTTCTGATTGGCCAGGCGCAATTCGCAGAGCCCGACAGGTTCGTGGTAGTCTACGGCCTGAACTCTGCAAACGCGACAAGGCTGACCTGGTGACAACGAAACCCGACATCGGCGCTGAAACAACTACCGCCGAGGGACTGCTGCGACGAGCCACGGAGTTGATACCTGTCCTCAAAGCGCGGGCAGCCTACACCGAAGAATTGCGGCGAATACCGGCCGAGACGGTCGACGATCTGCTCGCTGCAGGGTTTCACCGTATCGGCGTGCCCACGATGTTCGGCGGCCTTGACCTATATTACGGCCTGGCCCTCGACGTTGCCGCCGAGCTGGGCCGAGGTTGTGCTGCCACCGCTTGGTGCTACTGCCTCTGGACTGCCCACGCCTGGCTGGTGGGATACTGGCCATTACAGGCACAAGAGGAAGTGTTCGGGGCGAGCCAGGATGCGCTGTGCTCCAGCTCGTTGAATACTGGCCGGTCCACCACCGTCCCCGTTGAAGGCGGGTATCGCTTGACTGGAAGGTGGGAATTCTCCAGCGGGTGTGATTCCGCGAACTGGTTAATGTTGGGGGTGTCGGGAATCGGCGAGCGCAACTGGGTTCTGGTGCCCCGGGGCGACTTCGAGATTCTCGATAACTGGTACGTGTCCGGGCTGCGTGGCAGCGGAAGCAAGGATATCGTCGTTGACGACGCTTTCGTTCCCGCCCACCGCGTGCTGGACGTGACCACTGCGGGCGACGGCGATTGGAGCGGGTGGGAACTGCACGGACAAGCCCGGTACCGTGTGCCGATTCCCGTGTTGTTGGGGTTGGATCTCGTAGCGCCGATGTGGAATCACTCAGGGAATGATCGACGAATTTACCGCTCGGTTCGTCGGAACATCCGGCTCCGGGAGGACCGCCGACTCTCCTGCTGTGCATCTTCGCCTGTCCCAGGCCTCCGCCGAGTTGGACGCGGGAAGCGCACTGATGGATCGGGATATCCACGAGATCCTTCGGAAGGCCAACGCGGGCGATCGGTTCACACCTTTGGAACGGGCGAGATTTCGGCGGGACAAGGCGTTCATCACGCAGCTTTGCCTCCAGGCAGTCAACCGGCTGTTTGACCTTAGCGGCGGGCACGCGTTGTTCGATTCGGAGCCCTTGCAACGTTTTCACCGGGACGCCCGGCCGTGGCCCACCGCGACGGCCTGATCATGGATTTAGGCGGCCAGCAATTCGGGAGAGTCGCTTTGGGGTTAGACCCTGATGGCCCAATCTAGAGTTGCAACCCTCCCGGGCGTTTCGCCAGGACCAGGCCCGCTTGCTCAAAACGCCGGGCCTAAGCACATCCCGAATCGGCTGGATGGTACTGTGGAAGCACTCAAGGAGTATTTCAAGAATGACTGGAAAAATTCTCGCCACACTTGGTTCCATCCCGTTTGTGAACCCGCAACGCGCCGAGGGGGTTGCGATTACCGGCGGCAACGACCCGATCCTGCCAACGCCCTTCCACATCGGGGAGACCGCCGCAGCCAGCCTGGCTGCTGTCGGCCTGGCGGTTTCAGACCTCTGGGAGCTGCGGACGGGGCGTCGCCAGGAGATCAAAGTCGACGCCCGCCAGGCCACCGCCTCGCTGCGCAGCAGCCAGTACATGGCTATGGATGGAGCCTCGGTAGCCCGCGAGCGTCCCTCAGTAATGGGTGTGTATCCGGCCAAAAACGGCCGCTGGAGCTATCTCCACTGCAATTTCCCCAACCACCGCGGAGACGCTGCAATGCGCGTCTTGGGCGTTGAGGAAGACCGCGAGGCATTTCGTCGCGCGGTGGCTCAGTGGGACGCCATGGAATTGGAAGACGCCATTATCGCAGCAAACGGGCGCCAGGCCGATGGTGGCGCTCCATTGTCGGCATGGGCACACACACCTCCTCAAGCCGTCCGCAGTCGCTTCTTTGCCCTTGCTGGAAATAGAGAAGATCGGCGATAGCCCACCGGAACCATTGCCCAACGGCTCAAGGCCCTTGTCGGGTGTGAGGGTTTTGGATTTAACCCGCGTGCTGGCTGGGCCAACCTGCGCACGCACATTGGCCGAACACGGGGCAGACGTAATGAAGATTACCGCCCGTCACCTGCCCAGCAGCACAATCCAGGAATACGACACCGGCCACGGCAAACTGTCTGCCAGACTGGATCTGAGGGAACAGGAAAATCTGGACATTCTACGGGGTTTGGTGCGGGAAGCGGACGTTTTCTCCCAGGGGTACCGTCCGGGCACTCTATCCCAGCGCGGCCTCTCTCCTGAAGAATTAGCGAAACTGCGGCCGGGGATAGTTTGCGTTTCTCTGTCGGCATTCGGGCGGCTGGGGCCCTGGGCCTCGCGGCGGGGCTTCGATACGGTAGTGCAAACGGTCAGCGGCATTACCGACCGTCAGGGGGAGTTGGTCCCCGGGGCAGAGCCTTGGCCCCAGTTCTACCCGGTCTCGGCCATCGACTATCTGACCGGATACCTGATGGCATTCGGAACCATGGTGGCCCTGGCACGCCGCGTCCGGGAAGGCGGTAGTTGGCTGGTTCGTATTTCCCTGGCCCAGACGGGGCGCTGGCTGGTGGAACGGGGCCAGGTGCTGGACACGGAGCTCCAGGACGTACCCAAGGATTTCACGCCCGAAGAAATAGAGCGCTGGTCGACCGTTAGCGACGTGCCGGATGGCCGCCTCCATCATCTGGCGCCGGTGGTGCAACTCTCGGAGACCCGGCCCTATTGGGCCAGGCCCACGGTGCCCCTCGGCTACCATGACCCGGTGTGGCCGGAACGGAGTACTTAGCCAGCCCGCAATAACTCATGCCGTCGCTGTGCGTCGGAAACGCAGCGACGGCGCCTGCCGGTATCTCCAAACGTGGTGGCCACATCGCTCGCGACTCGCCTCAGCCGTAACAGGAATCGCCGAACTCGATTGACAGTAGGACGTACAGATATGCAGGAACGGGATTTTGTTGGATATGGCGCAGAACCGCCGGTGATTCGTTGGCCGGGCGGCGCACGCATTGCCGTCTCGGTCGTGGTCAACTATGAGGAAGGTAGCGAAGCATCGTTGCTGGACGGCGATGACCACCATGAATCCAACAACGAGGTGCCGTCCCCCATTCCACCGGGGCAGCGCGACCTGTTCAACGAATCTTTCTTTGAGTACGGCAGTCGCGTCGGCGTTTGGCGCATCTTGAATCTGCTCGACCGGTATAGCATCAAGAGTACTTTTTTCTGCTGCGCGGTAGCAATCGAGCGCAACCCTGAGGTTGGGCAGTATCTGGTGACCAACGGCCATGAGATCTGCGGCCACGGTTACCGATGGGAGGAATACCACAATAAAACCCGCGCTGAGGAAGCCGAAGCGATCCGCAAAACCATCGCATCCCTGGAAGCCACCACCGGAGTGCGCCCGCTGGGCTGGTTCACGCGATACGGCGCCAGCGTCAACACCCGGGAGCTGGTGGTGGACGAAGGCGGGTTTATCTACGACAGCGGTGTATTCAACGACGACTTGCCGTACTACACCGAGGTCAATGGGAACCCCTGGCTGGTGTTGCCGTACAGCTTTGAGACCAATGATGCTCGATTCTGGCGGGGTGGCCTGAACAGCGTTGGCGATTTTTACGAGTACATGAAAGACACCTTCGACGTGCTATACGAGGAAGGTCGTTCTCACCCCAAGATGATGTCGGTGGGGTTGCATTGCCGCATCGCCGGACGACCCGCCCGCTCCCGCGCCGTAGACCGTTTCCTCCGCTACGCCAAAAGCCATCCCGGTGTCTGGTTCGCCCGGAGAGATGAGATCGCTCGCTGGTGGCTGGAAAACTATCCGCCGGGAACCTTGTAAAACCCATATCTCGCAACGACGTAGGGGGCAGGTTTCAAACCTGCCCCTGCTAGGCGACGCGCTCTAAAAAGCCCGCCTACCAGTCGTTGAGCCGGATTACCGTGAAGACGGCGCCTTCGCGGTCCGTGAGAACGGCGAATCGCGCAAACTCCATCAAATCCCTGGGTTCCACGATGACGCCGCCACCCAGGTCTTTTGCCTTGCCGGCGATCACGTCCACCTCGTTAACCCCGAAATAGACGCCCCAGTTGGGTGGCACCGGCCCCCAGTCCTCGCCAATCTGGATGATGCCGCCAACCATCTGGTTATCGACCTTCAGCACCCAGTAGGGGAATTCTGCCACGTTTTCGTCCCGGTCAATGTCCACTTGCAGGACGGACCTGTAGAAAGCGCCCGCCGATTCGGGGTCGGTGGTCGCCAGCTCAAACCAGCAAAGCGCCCCAGGCTCCATCATCACGCCGGCGCCGGCGTGGGCCACCGGGTACCACAGCCGCAGAAAGGCTCCCTCCTTGTCTTGGACGATAGACATATTCGGCCTTGAGGGGGGGGGATGTGGGGGGGGGGGGGGGGGGGTG